AAATACATTAATGAAAGTACTTCCCATCACTTGTAAAACGCTACGAATTAATTCCAACACCTAATAATATATATTTCATATATATTAGAATTTAAAATTATATGATTGTATAATTATTCAAAATTACTAACAAAAATTACATAATTATATAATAGTGCAGTTGAAACAGCAAGAGATAAAACTAAATTAATATTTATATTAGACCTCGTAATATATTTAATTTATTTAACTTATTATATCTTGTTTATACTTCTAGAACGATGGAAATTAAAACAAATGGATAATTTGATAGAGCTACATAATAAAACTCCCGTATGGAACGATGATACGCAGTCCTATGTGCTTAACTTTCATGGTCGAGTAACTCAAGCATCTGTAAAAAATTTCCAAGTAGTCCATGACAGCGATGGTAAGACGAAGCTGAATATATTTTTTACTTTACATATAATGTATATGATGTAATGTCTATGGCATTTTTCAGAATAATTTTAAAGAATTTATTTTAATTAATTTTTTTTAGTGGACTACGTCGTAATGCAGTTTGGACGTGTCGCAGAAGATGTTTTTACGATGGATTATCGATTTCCTCTTTGTACAGTGCAGGCCTTCGCCATCGCTCTGAGTAGTTTCGACAGTAAATTGGCGTGTGAATAACAATGCGGCTGAATGCTATCGATCGAATTGTCAGTTAAGTATATACTTGTCCACGAGTTACTATATCTAAATCATTAACTTTCTAATGGACAATCAGTAGATTACCAAATATCTGAAAATGGTGTTGAATATGGCGTAACGAATCATGCGTTTTATAAGATAAAACGTGAAAAAAGAATCGCTCTAAATGTGTGTTCACTTTTCATACTTCGTAACGAGTCTATTTCTATATTAAATGTGTATAATGCAGAACGACGACTTCAATATTATTCATGATATAAAGATGTTGAGTCTGCGATAAAAAAATCTCGATAGCGTTATACTTAAAATACGGCACGTTGTATTTTGACTATTTTCATTATTTACAGTTGATTGACGAAATAGAATAATTATTGCTGTTTATGAAATGGTGTGAATTCCTTGGCCAGTAATTCAGAAAAACTAATGCAGTATACATTTGCACATGTTAAATATTTGATATATTTTTATGAATAATTCATATATAATGCAGAGCATTCATAATATATTCATAAATAATGAGCCATAAGTATCTGATTTTACAGTGCCTTGGTATAATATTTACACTGTTATAAAAAAAATAATATTTACATTTGCCCTCTGTTATTTTCATTGAAGGAAATGAAAAAGATCATTCATTATTAAAAAGATCACTAAAGCAAAAATCTAAAATGTCCGTTAATTTAAAATATTTTGTTAATTTATGTGCACATTAATTATCAAAAAACGAACATCAAAAAGACTCGCAGCTCGTTTTACATGTATTTCACATATATTTCAAGAAAGCTTATATATATTTCTTAATTTATATGACATTTAATAATAATCTGTATTAACAGATTCCGTCATAGTAGGATATTATGGTAGAATATAAGTGACTCTATGTAAATCATACAATCATTTATTTTATCATCATATGGAGATGTGCAATTTTCACTATTACTAAAAGATTGAATATATGCAGCACACACTATTAATCAGAAATATATCGAGCACATCTTCTATTAAACTTTTTCCGGTGACAAATTCATTCGGAATATAAGAAACTTGGATTTTTTGATTAATCGAAAATCATTGAATATTTTAATCTACAATTATTTTAATAATTATTACTAAATTACAAACACATCTTTAAAAAACCATTCAAGATGTGAGTTTAATTTAATGTATATGTGTTCACATATTTATGTCCACATATTTATATTTTGTGTGTATTATTTAAGTTAAGCAGAGACGTGTAAGAAAACGACCAAAGCATTTTGCTGAAAGTTTCCCAGTTTTTTATAAACAAATCGATTATTTAAATATTTGACAAGCATCAGATGATTAGGTAGTCTCTGATACATAGTTATTGCCTAATCATCCGAGTATTAATTATTAAGATAGCTCTTAATGTAATAATGTTTAGCGATTAATAGAACATATTTATTGCAATAATATTTAAAAAATAGGTACCTGTGTTATGTCGCTATATCCGTCGTGTTTATATCCGTCATTGTATTTTTTTGTTATTTACATCATGAAATACTTTCACATTCCAATTTTTCACAATAATATTTTAAATATATGCAGTTTTCATCCTATACTAATTCATGTATAACGAAATGCACATTTATTATCACTATTAGATGTGTATTGTCTATATTTTTTAGGTTTGCATCACTATTACAGAAATGTTCTTATTTACATTTTTCCTATGTAACTAATCGGAAATATTTGTTCGACAACAAAAAGCATTTTGCACATTCGATTTTATATATGTTTATTTGTCAGTGTAATCGAGGAGTATATATCTAGTCTTTTATAGTACCGATCACAATTTGGTACATATTATGTAGCGTAATAAGTTATTCATTCTTATTTTATAAAAAAAAAGCATCAGAAAACCATACTAAAGTGTATTTTTACTAAAGCGATGCATTAGTTTATCATACAAAATTAAAAAGAAAGTAATATTTTGATTCTATATTTAACTCCAACTATAGTTACGAAAATTACGTGTTTACAAAATCTAAGACTGTTTGAAGTACACAATGCAAGTAAACCACGGCGATTGATAGAGGGTTTTTAAATTTTTTTACCTACAATTTAGAACCTTCAGTACCAATTGTATAAATTGTACAATCGTCCAAAAATTTTCGCTTTAGGTACGTTGCTGTAATTGAGGGTTAAATATTGTTTATTAAATGCTGAAAAATGTTTTTAAATGCGAAATATATACAAAACAAAAGATTAAAATTACAGTTTTAGAAAAAGGAGTGCATCGCGTTTGGTTCTAACAGAATAGAAACGAATGAAGATACATAATAACATGTATATTATATTATTTATTATTACAAGATTTATAAAAAAAGATAATAACATTAAATATTTTCAGCATTATTTGGGCAGTAAATATTGATAGATTAATGAGCGCATTTTCTTAATTTTTGTATTTTCATGTATAAAAAAACCGCTGTTTGTATCTCGATTAATACAATAAAGGCACTTAAGGTCTAGCACTTATCGATATAAATAAAGATCATGATACGACGATCACACTTATTCGTTTTATTATTTACAATAGGCATACATTATTTCACTCCTGGCTTGTAATTAAAATTAATTTGCTATTCTGTCATAGAAAATAAATATATATAGAATTATGTAGAATTTAATTAAATATTTCTGCAATTATAGAAATATATAATTCATTCGATAGAATCTTATTTGCGTAATTCTCCTATAGAGAATAAATATTAATAATGTAGAATTAAATATTTTTCTGCAATTTAATTACAGAAGGAATATAACTCATTCGAAAAAAAATCTTACAATATCTCTTTTTTAATAAACAAATATTATTTATATTGTTATGTTTAATATGTTTTGCGCTATGATATGCTGTAATTGACAATTCTTTAGAATGTCCAAGTTAAATTAGAAGTTTGCAAGTTTTCTTAGTAAATGAAGCAAAGCGTATGACCTAACTGCATTCATTGAGCAGAACGTGGAATCTACAAGAAGTTGAAGTGCAACTCCATATTTTCGATTTTAGTACTATCAATGTGTATCAAAAAAACTTTCTATACAAAATGTATATGTATCTGTACGCGATACGACAATATGTGAAATCACAGAATATTTTCGGTTTTTATTTTATTTATTTATTTTTTTATTTAAAAAATGTGTCAAATTGATGTTTAATATATTTCAGTATTTCAATATTTGAACAAGTACCGAACACCTGATATGAACGTACAGATCGATCAATTTTTATATATATATATTAGGTGTTGGAATTAATTCGTAGCGTTTTACAAGTGATGGGAAGTACTTTCATTAATGTATTTTTTAATGCTCATGTGAAATAAATAACATTCTTTCATTTAAAAACGCTACGAATTAATTCCAACACCTAATATAATCATTGTATCAATCTTTTATAATTTTTTTTTTATTATATGTAAGCACTATGATATGTCTCAGATGATTTGACAAAACATGACGAGCAATTTTATGGAAAAGACAGCAGAGATACAATAGGACGGAGATGAGAGGAGATGAAAACTAAATTTTGCTCGCAAAAATGTGAATCATCACTTGCAGTCTTTTCTTTTCATGTGCATTTTTTTCTATAATTTGTCGACTGATCTGTCATTTATTATTTAATAGAAAATATTTGAACAATTTCTCTATAAAAAAAACAGTATATATATTATTCTTATGTACAAAGATTTTAGATTTATTGTCATTGTTTGTATAGACTATTATGTAAAAAATAACTCCTTTCTTTTCGGCTTTTCATATAAAATACCGAACGAAAATTTAAATTTCTACATTATATAGAAATTACAAACAACACCAATACAATCTACATCTTGAAATCTTGGTTTTGGCAACGATAAAATTTACGACTTGAACGAAATCTTATCTGCGAACTAAATCGCGTTTTCTTATATATTATTTAGTAATCAATCAATAGAGACAAACTCCTAAAATATTTTACAAGTTTGTATAAGTATAAATATTTTCAATCCTTATCAAAGCAAGATAATTATGCTTCAAATTGTAAAAAAATGCATATCCTATATATATATAAATAGGAGTGATAACGTGAGACGATATTATTACTAATTTTACAAATACAAACAAATAACACGCAAATATTAATAATAATCCCCTTGTATCATCCAACTTGGAAGCTCAATAATACTGAATTTTTATCAGCTTCGAGAAACTTTATCGTTACTACCTTAGAACTGAAAATCCCCGTTAATCGTCACATTAGTGATTAAACTAAATATTTGTAAGTCCCTGTTTTTCTTTGCTTGCTTTTATCATTCGAAATTTCACGTGCATCCTTTTCTCAAATCGATTTGAGTGGTTTTCGCATTCGGTCGAACAAATCTGAGAGCCGGTATACGCGAGGCGGGTCTAGGAATTCCGCTTATCACAGTAGCTGGTTTGCTTCCGGTGCTCCAGTTGGTCGGCTGTCTCAACCGAGTCTTATTCTCAGTTTTAGGCACTACTTGATTCGGACTCTACAAGTCAATAGAATTACAATTCCTTCATATATTAGATGTGTAATAATTTGTTCCTAATTCTTCTAATAGTAAGTAGCAAACTTGAAGAAATAATGAATAAGTTTGATTAGTTATTATTGTTGAATATTTAAATTTTGATTTCATGTCACAGTAAGTGTTTACACAAAGTAATACATACTTCTGTCTTTTCAACTACTACAATTTCATCCTTGGTTTTTACTATGTTACCTTCGGCATTTCCTTAAAAGATGCACACATATATTTTTTATTTAATTTATTTCAAGTTAAACTATTCATTTTAATTTAATTTAGAAAACAATTATCTAATTACCATCATTTAATGCGTGACTAGACCCAGTAGGACTGATTATCGGAGAGCTACTTTTCATACTTAAATCATTATTTAGTAAATGTTCATCAATCTCATTGTGTTGAACACCGTTTTTCAAAATTGGGGAAGGCAAATCCTTTTTCTCTGCGATCCACGTGTTCTCTAAAACTTGTCTGTTCGGTTTGGGTGATAAATCTTGCTTTAAACCTGAAAATACAAATTTAGAATTAGCGATTTTTCAACGATATCTTTAAAATGTTCATATGAAAGTTATTTTATATTTTGTAGATAGTAATTTACAACACTTACTCTCTTCCTGCATTCGCACTAATTGATGTAATTGCTCAATATTCATTGTTTGTTTGCTACACGAATTATGATTACTGCTGTCAGAGCATGTACTAAGTCTATCATCCAGGTCGGGTGCGCTGTGAACGCTGTGGGTGCTCTCTATGCTCTCTGTCGAGCCAGCAATCACATCTTTCATCGGAAACTGATTATTCGTATTCACATTGGCCTCGAGCAGCCGTTGCTCGGAGCCGCTCTTCATCTTGCCATACGGATGTAACTTGCTCGGCAGCTGCGACTTCTTTGTGATGTTTTGCTTAATATTGGATTGCGAGCCCTTGATGTATCCTATACTGGATATGCTTGTACGAACAATAGGCACACCGCTGACATTCTTTAGCGAACTCGATACAAGATTGGGATTGGATTTCTGCAGGAACTGTGGCAATTTTGACAACGCCCTCGGTACGTTTCTTTTCTGCTGTATTTTCGGAAGATGGGGTTTACAAAACGTGCTATCCATGCTTGGATGCGTCTCGACGTTCTCACTAGCGATATTATTAGTTCTTCCGATGGGGTTATTTTTCTTTGTAAAAGTGTAAAATTTACGTTGGTCCATTGGCAATTCCTTTTGAGCGGTTACAGTCATTTCATTCTGACTTGTATACTGACTGGTCATCCTGGTAAACGCAGACTTTTTGTACGTGTAGTATTTGTTCGTCGAAGAACCGTCAGTCTCATTTTCATTATAGCCTATATGAACATTTTCCTTGGTGTCTCTCAAATTAGGATGATCGCTAGGAATATGATTGTACGTGGAATCCAGCTTGCGTTCGCCACTTCGTTGAATCTCTGCCAGCAATTCTCGTCTTAATGACGTGGGAGCTTTTAACGTGGGATGCACAACTGGTTGCGGCTGGTCCAAATGTTTCATAACGAATTTCGATGTTGCATTCGGCATACTTGGATTCATTGGCGTGGATTGGTTATACACAGGCACGTTAAAAGACATATCTAAAGCGCTCTCCTTCGCAAGTGTCTCACGCGTGAAAAGCGCTACGGATTCGATTTTATCTGGCAGAATGTCACATGTTACATTCAAATCTGCTTTATTTACGCGCGTTGTAGGTATGTACGTATGTACATCGTTAACAATCGATACTGGCGAATTTAGTCTCTTAACGCCTTTTGCTGAAGATAGATATGTAGTATCTAGTAATTCAATGCCATTACTTGCTTCATTTTGTAATTGCACGAAATTAGCATTAGGTTCGGTTACAAAAGTGGAAGACAAAGTGGTCTCTTGTTTGTCGAGACTCGATCTTGCTGATGTTCCACTAAGAGCAGCTGCATTATACGTCTCGTTCAAGACTTTATCGAGTTGAAGAAATTCTTTGCAGGTGTTGCTTAGATTATTTGTGCAATAAATTTTGTCCGGTGTAATTGTTTTGTCAGAGTTTTGCATCACATATGTTTCATTATTAATATCGTCAGAGTTTGAGCTTTTTTCCATGTCGCTGTTTTGAGCCATGTTTTTATTTATTACTGATATGTTGTTTTTAATAAATATGGACTCGTTTGTGATAACAGATGCACTCAAAATAGAAGGCTGTGATATGTTCATCAACATATCACTGAACTCGGGTTCTCCTAAATTTATAAATGAATCTATTCCTTTGGATTGTGACATGTTTAAGAAAGCTTCCATGCTTTCCTGCCCTGATGTTACTGAGATTTCGTCGGATAACATATTTAAAACCGTTTTGGTGGACGGCTTCAAGATCGGTGGCACAGATTCTTTATCTCTAATTATTGCAGGTAAATATTTTTCCACCTACATAATGATACAAAATCAAATTTCATACATTTAATATAATAATGTATTATAAATTTTAATTAATATATAATTAATTAGTATTGTACAACAGAAAAATATTCATAATTAATTTTATAAAATATATAGGCAATAAAGTTTCCAGACTGCAGTGCTAAAAAAACACAAACATTTCCAATAACAAAATGTTATGTTATTTTCTGTAGTCTTCTATGATACCAATACACTCCACATCTTTAATACAAAGCTTCCAATATTTTTTGTCTATATTTAGAATGCTATTAGAGTACTCGTCTCTTTATACTCGTCTCGTATTTCTTTGATTATCATCGATGTCTTAAAAATGTTTATTTTTCATGCTTTTGAGCTTTAAGAACAGTATGAAATTCGAAAGAGCTAGTTCCAGCAAATAAGATGCGTGGTTAATCTCAACCTCTTTCTTGGTCAAGAAAATTACATAACCATATCGCTACGCGATATCGCCGAAAAGAATCATCGTTTTTGCCGACATTTGGATTGATTTCATATTATTCCAAAAGCTCAAAAATATTATGAAAGATAAATATTTTCAAGACATCTTAACAGCTATCGAAGACATTCAGTAAAATGTGATAAATGAATAGCATTTCAACAGATTTTAAAAAATTAAGATTTTGTATCAAAGACATATATATATTGATGGACTACTTTAAAAGATAACATATTACAATTTGTTATCTGAAATATCTATTTTTTATTATTACAATCCGGGAACTTTATTTATACTATCAGATCATATAAGCTATTTATTTTAAATATAAGGAAAATCCTTTTATATATATAAAAATCATACTTTAATATTAAATATTTACATAGAATATATATAAGACGGTTGAACAACCTACATTTTCTGTGTATGTAATATCTATATCTTGCAGTTTCTGTACATCTGTTGTAGAAGGCGGTAGTCCCTCGAAAATCGATTCAAAGCTCATTCGAGCTGATCGTTTCTTAGATCTCGTGAATGTTCTCGTGTCGATGCATTTTTTGTTATCTAAATATACATATTAAATTTAATAGCAATAGCAAGTAATACTTGGATTATAAGACTGTAAATAAAGCTGAGAATATTTAGCGGATAAATTAATGTGATATTATCATGTTTTGTACTTCGAACATCCAATTCCGGTTCTGTCTTCAGCCAGACATATATATCCTGAATTGTAGATCCAGTTGAGCATTGCAGAGGCATATATAACCTAAGAAAAAACAATCTTAAATTAACGATTAAATCGAAATTAATTTAGTTAAGTTAATTCATTAACATTGAAATGTAACAAAAAAGAATATTTAATATTTCATTATATTAGAAAATAAAAATATATTAATCAATTTTCTCAAAATTAATTAAGCGAAAGGTGCACAGAGCAAGACACAAGCGCAAATTGAGTCTATTCTTATTTTAAAAAATATGTAATCACAGTTTGTTGTACATTTTCTAGATAAAAATAAATCTAATTTGCGCCCTACTAATTGCACTTGACTCATTTGTCCTTTCCTTTAATAAATATAAAAATCAGAATTGTGTGTAAAATTTATGAGTAAAATATAATCGAAATACTACTATATCTCTTGATATTCTACATTTACGTAATATAGTGTAAATTATGTACTCTATTGAAGAAAATTCGACCATTTGTACTACACTAAATTAATACACATTAAAGGCTGTTTTATATAAAGTTTTATCTAAATGCAGGAATATAATATAAATAACTTTAACAATGAAATAATATATGTATTATTTTGTAAAATAACATGTCAATATTGGATATTTAATTTAAGTATTCATATGCTTTTACATTTAACTTTACTAATTTTATGTATAAGTAGCTCTTAAATATATACTAATCTAGTATAATACCTGTAAGTACCTGAATTCGTCATATGTTTTATGTGTAATTTGCATAAATAATGTATAGATCATTGAAGCTTTTTGTTTTTTGTCGTTACACTGGATTTCATAAAGCTTTTATCTCATTTATATATTATATTTACCAATATTGGAGTCAGATTATATTAACAATCATAAAACCTAATTACTTCTTTTCTATATTATGTCATAAAATTTCATATAATTTACATTACTATATTGTCTATATAAAAAAGATTTGTATAAATTTAGTATAAACAATACATAAATATTCCATGTGAAATGTAATCTTAAAATATACAATTCTGGTAAAAGTTTTATCTTCTACGTTTCCAAATTATTTTAGAAACTTACAGGCCACAATAAACTAATTAGACTAATATACAAATAATTCTTAAATACATATAATTAAAATTGACTCAAGAGCAATATATATTAAACCACATAAAGAAAAATGCAGAAATCTATCAATTAAATGAAACTTCATCTACAAACAACACATGCTCCCAATTCAAAACGTACTGTTATTTATTATGCTCATTATTCTTATTGTTTTTATTCGTATCCCGAGTAGAAAAATGGAGTAGGGGCGGAATTAAAGACAAATATGGTGAGCATATTCCAAGGAGGTGCGGGCCGATTAAAGGGTCATCAACGGGCGAGCGACACCCACCAAACGTCGTCGTCATCATCGAACTGCAGGTCCGACAGGTTGATATAGTCGACTTCATCGATGAGGTAGCCATCGTGTGTGTGTTCCACTCGCGTGACAGTCCCGTTCGGATCCGTGATGCCCGCTGACATATTTTTCCGAGTGTTATCGCGTTGCACGAACACACATATTTCACTGTCCGGGGTAGTCGCCCCCCCCCCCTTCCGAAAACGCGCGCGTGTGAAAATAGCTCAGCGGGGGAGAATAAGAGAGAAGGAAAGAGATAGAGGGAAAGGGGAAAAGTAGATTTAACACGCGACGAGTAGGAACGACCGTGACGATGGTGACGATTCTTGTTGCGCACCGGAAAGGAAAAAAATGATATGATCACGGTCACCTGAGTCTCGGATCTCGTCACAAGACATAACCACAGCGAACGAAAATTGACACGAATACATATGAATGCTACGCTGCGCCGAGACTGCGTTATTTTCGTGCCAACGTCACGGCGCACCCGGCGCGAGATTGATATAGACGTCGCACCGGACGACGAATTTGAATTTCGGAATACTTGGGCTACATTTTCATGCTGACGCTCGACGCTCGATTCGAGAGTCAAACAAAAACGATCACGTGATCAAATTAACGAATACCAAGCATCATTCGAAGCATCAAGGTACGTTTTCACGACCCGCTCCAACCAGCCGTTTCAGACAAAAAAGATTACGTGGTCAAAATTGATAAAAATATCAAGCGTCAATTTTGATCGTTTTTGTCGCTGAAACAGCCGATTTGAGCGGCTCGTGAAAATGTACTGTCAGCACAAAAAAGTAGCCTTAGATTGCGTTTCCATCAAGCGGCTGCTTCTCCCGCCCAATGGCGACGTTAGAAATGGCTTTACATATCTTTTGCCTATATATGGTGCGTTTGGGAAAACGCTATTAACGCTTCTGTTAGTATGGTCAAAGTCTCGCTACAAATGCTTTAAAAGCATATGATGGATCAATTAGAAGAAAAAATTTTACAAACTGTCCAATTAAAAACCGCTGCAAAGCATTTGCAGCATCGCGTTGACCGTACCCTTTATCTTCGTTGTTTATTAGACGTAAAACAAGGATAAAATGTCACAAATAGCGCTAATAGCGTCTCTCCAAACGCAATAATCTTCAACAAAAAAAAAACTTCTTGAAATTAGAAATTTTAAACCATAAAATGTAAAAAAATTGCAAAAAATATTTTATAATATAATATGATTTTTTCATATTTCTCAATTTAAGATATTTCTGATATTTTAATAAGTCTAGTCGTGTTGCTTACATTTTTGGTATTCAGAATCTTTATTTCCTTCTCTTTTCAATGCAGAAAAAATTTTTGAAAATTTCAAGCAACGCGAATAAATTTAATGCTTTAAATATTATCGATTTTTTAAATGTATTTTGATATTTTTAATTCTCAATCTCTGTAATATTTTATTCTTTTCTTTCAAGCTTTGTAACCTTTATGTGTTTTCATCTTTCCTTCTTTTCTCGTAAAGACAATTTCGAATCTTTTTTTCCAAATAAATTAAATAAACTTAATAATTCTATTCGTGTTAATAAAATAATACAAATATTTGTATAATTGTAATACAGATTAATTGATCATCAATTGGAGTTTAATTGAAGTTGCTCTAATTTATACGCTTATTTCAGTTATTGAGCGCAACGGAACACATCAGGACTGTTCTTTTTAGCTGAACTTTTACACTAATTCATATTTTTTCCTTTTCTCTTCAGGAGGAAAGAAAAAGTAGAAAGATGCACTGGTGCAAAAGTTTAGTCAAAAAGAACAGGCCTATCGACTCCTGCGTTTCGAGTTTCGAGTACTTGAACAGAGAATCGAGAGATCGCGATTGATCGCGATTCTCAACCGCCGTTCATCCCTCTTCGTATCGCGCATTTACCCGCGACCCAACCGTCATTAAAGAGGTAGCAGGCAGCAGCGACCGGTTCGTTGTCGTCCGTTGCAATCCGTTGTTCATTTCCTGGTTTCATCAGGTTTGGTTTTCACCTATCTCACACGCGGATCTCGACTTCGTGATACGAAGGTAGGACCCGTTAATCGGGAATACGGAATCTGGCCGCGACGCCGCGGAGGCAGAAATTATTCGCATCACGTCGCGACGTACCTCGCCGTGACGTTCCTCGCACGCGCACTTTGTTCCCCACGTTTCGTCCTCCTTCACGTCCGTCATCCCACGTCGGATGACCTCGTTGCCCTCGTGCCACGTGCACGTTCCTATCGAGCCATTCCCGGCCGAATTCTCCCATAGAACCGAGCGTCGCGAGGCGCGAATCTTGGCGCCCTTAGTTGCCTTTAGTCTCGTCCTCTCAATGTCATTCAACGTGTCGTCTCGCACCTCGCCGACGCTCTCGCCACGCGCATCCAATCTCGTCTGTGCTCTCGTCAGCCCTCATCTTGCAACTGAAAGTCTGGAATAATCTTCCATTCGATTCTCAAGTTCGCGCGCAGACCGATTCACTTGATCAAGGGGTTCATAAAAATTTGAGCGTGTAAAACCAGCGGCACACTGCACATTTTCTTGCTTGCGGTGAATTGCTGGAAATTATGTATTCTGGGCAATTTTAGTAATTTATTGTAATGCAAGTGAGAAGATATGCGTCGTGTGCCGCTCGCTTAATTTTTAGCACAAAATCAACGTGACTTGAGGCTATGGTTGTCCGAATGCTCCTTTTATTCCATCACATACGTCTTATGCGAGTCCCGTGAATCTGGCACGTTATTTTACGCAAGCATCATGTCACATTGTACATTTTTGTGTCTGAGAAATTTAATCGATTTCCTAAGTTTATTAAGTTATTTCCTAAAACAATACTTTGTAGCCAAGTTGTTGAAACTTTTTTTTGACCAAGTGTTTTGTTCTTTAAGCGATATGAAATAATTTGTATTCGTTAGGAATCTAAATCAAGATTTTATTGAGTTGTCCTCTATGATAGTAAAAGAATTTATGTTACATCAGGCTTGTTTTTTTTGTGGTTGAACTTTTACACCAGTTTATCTTTTTCTTCTTTTCTCTGGAACAGAAAAAGAAGAAAGATGATCTGTGCAAAAGTTTAGCTAAAAAAGAACAGGCTTCTAGAAATTTCTCCTGCTACTCATTGTAATAATCGAGCTACTTACACGCTTTTTTACTTACTTATTTCTGAATTATGTTGCAAAAACAAGTTATTAGAGATCTGCTCAAAATTAGTCGCTTGCCTTTTTATTTATACATATTTAGCAATGTATATTAGTATAAATGTTAGCACTGCTTTAGTGATCGAGTTACCATGTATTGTATAGTAGTGTACAGATATATAAATACATGTAATTCTCAGTCTACGTAAAATTCGAGCAGATTGAAGACAGTTTGATGTTACCAAGTTTACGGCTTTAAAAATCAAGTTTATAGCTGTGAACGCTAAGAAACTTTTAGATTAGAATAATAGATAATTGAGGTGAATTGATATAGCGACACATTTGAATTGTAGTAATATGACAACCGATCCGGAACGCGCCGCCAATGCTAGCGGTACAGAATCCGTTGAAGACGAAGACGATAACCATCGCAAAATTTTACGTAGACCTGATGTGTTAGCTGCTCTTCGAGATGGTATTACTGCAGCAGGATTAGAGGTATTGCAATATTATGTTCAGTCTTCATTCGGTCAACTGTATACAAATATATATATATATCATTTTTATAATAGTATTGCAAAAATCTTTTTCTGATCCGCATGCTTTCCCCCCGATGCTTGTTTGCTTTTACATCCCATTTGACTGAAAATTTTTAACTGAATGAATACATCTTATATGTTTATTACGCATCTCATTGAATAGTGAATGTCATCCGTAACTTCTCCCAATTTAAATAAAATTTTATATTAATGTTTTTTCATCACCATTGATTTGCGCTCTATCAATAAATTTGCTTGTTTTATTAAATTAAAAAGAAACGGAAATATTTAGTAAAGCTTAATAAAATATAAAATATCAAAATATATTTGATTGTATCAAAGTTTCACAAGTCCAATTATATTTTTAGCAAATGCAGTCTCTTCCTGCTCCCGTTAAACGCAGGATCAAGGCATTGAAACAATTGCAACTCGTTACCACTAACATTGAGGCTAAATTTTATGAGGAGGTCCATGCCTTGGAATGTGAATACTATAAAATGTGTGCGCCTTTATACGAGAAGCGGTGTGAGATAATATCGGGTGCTTATGAACCAACCGATGAACAATGCGTTTGGGACAGCGATGATGATGAAGAAACGCTAAATAATTATATGAAAGAGAAGGCAAAGATTGAGGATTCTGCCGAAACAAAGGAAACGTATGTTTTTTTTTTTTATTAATATGTATCTATCTGCTTACATATATCTAAGATTAGATACGATTTGTTAAACATGCAATTAATTATTGCATATTAATTTGTATAATGTATTTTAGAACGGAAAATGAGGATGATACTAAAGGCATCCCCGATTTCTGGTTAACAATATTTAAGAATGTAAGTACGCTATCCGAAATGGTTCAGGAACACGACGAACCGATTTTGAAGCATCTACATGATATCAAAGTAAAATTTCTGCCATCGAATCCAATGGTAAGTTGTGGAACAAAGTGATATAATTAACAATTAAAAAAGGAGTTTGATTTAAATTAATATTTTTTTAGGGATTTATTCTCGAATTCTATTTTACGCCCAACGAATATTTTTCGAACGCAATACTCACTAAAGAATATATCATGAAATGTACTCCAGATAAGAATGATCCATTCAGCTTCGAAGGACCGGAGATATATAAATGCAAAGTAAAGTTTTTACTTGATCTAATTAATTTCCAAATAATTACGATACTAAATGCGAGAATTTTCTCATAGGGTTGCGTAATTGATTGGAAAAAAGGCAAGAATGTTACAATTAAAACTATTAAGAAAAATCAGAAGCATAAATCTCGAGGATCCATGCGTACCGTGACGAAAACTGTTCAAAATGATTCCTTCTTTAATTTCTTTAGTCCACCAATTGGTAAGTAATATATCTATCTTTTAGTTTTTTGTGTAGAACTAAAAAAAACATATTTGACTTGCAATTTAATTTTGCTTTAAACATTTTCAGTGCCAGAAGACTCGGAAGCTGATATGGATGATGATACTCAAGCTTTACTAACCAGCGATTTTGAATTAGGCCATTATATTAGAGAACGCATAGTTCCTAGAGCTGTACTTTACTATACAGGTAACGTTCATGATTATATATACAATTTTTTATTGTGAACATAATGGATATGGCGCAACAATTTTTTTTTATTAAAAAACTTAACATGCGACATATAAGTTTGATCAACATTTAAATTTCGAAGTATATCTGTAGTTAATATATTCTTATGTTTATTTTCACGAATATTTTCATTATGAGACAAATTTAAATTTTCAGGCGAAGGTTTAGATGATGAAGACGAGGATTACGAGGATGAGGATGAAGGAGATGATGATGAAGACGAGGAGGATGAGGAAGAGGAAGCATCTTCTCCTGTTAATGCGCCTTCAGGTGGGAAACAAGGCGATGATCCCAATGAGTGTAAACAACAGTAGAATTACATTAATTGTGCCGTAATGAAAAAAGAAAAAAAAATCGTTCGTGCGTTACAGTATGCAACAACACACTAACGACATCTCTGACCGATAACTGCCTAGATAATCCTGCACCTTGTGGCTCCAAATGTAATCCCTGTTCTTCGTATCAATCATCTAATCATATCATATCTCCTATTCCAGATCAAGCATAGAACTCTTCAACATACCAGTGATACAAAAAAAAACATTTAACAAAAGAAATTATACGTACCAATCTTCCCTATATCGCCGTTGATGATGAATAGAATGTGCGCCTCATTATACTTCTGCTATAAGGTTTTAATCATAAGTATGTAATAATTGCTCTCGCTCTCGACACTAATTATCAATTTTTAATTGCTTCATTTTATACTACTTGTTACGTTTTTATAATGCGCTGACAGAGAGGTTGTTTGAATTCTTTTCCGAGAAACGCACGTTGCTCTATGGATAAATTTTTGGGTACTGTTGAAGCATTTTTAATACAAAAGTGAAGAAAAAAATATTACTGTGTTTTGTGTTTCATTCTTCATCTTTATTCCTTCATAAAGTGTCCTTCCAAGACCTTCGTAAAAAGAATGATCTTTGGGCATTATTTACAATTGTTATATTAATGTCATGCTTTCATCTATAAATTCGCTACGGAACGTTTGATACAACGATTTTGTATTACGTCGAAACGGTTCCGAATATAATATTTAAACGTGGTTTAGAACGCACTACGTCAGATATATATGAAAATATAATATAAAAAACATTCGCATATATCACGTTTTGAACTCTCGAGTACACTAGAGAAAAATCTTAATAGATAGAATTTTGGTTTAAAGATTTTTCTGAAAGGATTGCTTTTCGAGATTTAGTTTTAATTTTAACAAACATTTATTTCGGAGTTAAATAACATTTTTTACGTTATTTGTAATTTTCAATGTATGTAAGAAGCGGTAACAATTTTTATTTTATGCTTGGCCCATCTCGGAAGCTAGTTATATTTTTTTAGTTCATCAACAGTAATCTTTGGAAAAATTCTAGTCCTCATGCCACGTCAGCTATATTAAACTTTGTGGAGCAGATCATAAAATTTACAATTAATATAGAACTGAACGTGTAATCATGTAACGATATATGATTCCATAACATTTTTTTATATCTGTATTTAAATTTCTCATATGAACATATTTTCATGCATATTAGATTTGATGAACACTTAGGTATTTTGCGCTATGTTAAAGTGCGGTAATTTATGCTGTGCAATATTGCACGTCAATACGATTGAAAATGTGCGTCATTGAAATGAATGTATATTAATTACTGCGAATGTGCGATTCATTTACATTCACACACTATGAACGACTGGTTGTAAAAAAAAGGCACGCGTGTTCTTGAAAGAAAAATTCAAAACGATTTGTGCCAGGAAAGAATTGACAATGTAATCTTGCACAGCGTATAATCTAATATTCTTGTATATAATGTAATACAGGGATATATATATATATAAAAGATACACCTTACTTCTAATAAAACAAACTACGCATTTGATATTATGGTACCTAGAATGTTGTAAATAAATAACTGTACAAGGACTGAAAAATTGATCGAAATAATTAATTGCAAATTAATTTCTCTGGGATATCTCAAACAGAATATGTCGTTTTTACCGTTAAATGGCACACGCCTAATGGTAAAACGATAATAATAAATATAAAATCGCTTTGCTTACGATTCTTATTATTGGAACGGTTTACTTGCAATCGAATTTTTAGCCGTTTGCATGTATCGCGTTTGTTTTAATCCTCTAAAAAGTACTTATAAAAATACAATTTCTAGATAATGTCTTGTTTGTCTTTCTCCCTCTTTTTCTTTTTGGCTAGAGTTTCACATCGATATGAAGAAACTCTAAATTATGAAAATTTTTGTTAGGCCATGACTTAATAAGAAGACGATGATACAAGATAATGTGCGATGAAGGTAGGAGAGTCAGGTACCAATTTGCTCTCGCAAAATGTACCGACCCGACTGCAACAAGCCAACAAAAAGAAATAAATCATATGATTTTTCTCCCATTTTGCCAGAATGGCAGATCAAGTCTTGCCCTGATCCCCTCCTCCATTTTCAGTGTATGTAGAGCTGTTTCGGGAGGTTCGTTATTCAATTATTAACGTAAAGACACAGAAAAAAATTATTTTAATCCTGTGTCTGATAATATTTTTTACTAAGCGTTTCCTTCTTCATCTTCGTCCTCGCACGATACCGCCTCGGTACTACGAGGCAACAGCATAGATACATGACCGTATCTAAGGAAAAATTATTTCATTAAAATTTTCAAACATAATCTATCTATAATCTATCATATAAAATACATCTGCGAGATCTCACACACATAAAAAAGATATATGTTATTCTATGCATTTAATTATAGGATATATCAACGGATTATACTATGTGTGTTAATCTATTATATATATAGGTTTTAATATTTGTACTTACTTGCTGCTTCTATACTTCTCCTGTATTGCCGTTTGCTGAAAGTTAGGAGCATTGGAGAAGGTTCTGTTCAAATACGCAATACATTCTTTAAGAGTTTTCAAATTGTATCCAGTTGACAGTTCCAATTCGTGTGGCCAAATCTCTTCACGAAACGTATGCCGCGCTAGTGCTATCGCGGACGCAGCCAAGTGACTGGGCAAATATTGTAAATATGGGTCTCCCTCCAGCATTGACAACTCACATAAGTACTAAAATAACAAAATATGTGTGAAACTTCTTAAAAATTAAGAATGTTACATACATTTTCAATAAAAAATGAAAAAATTATGAAAAAAACTACAAATTTTTCTTATTGTATTTGAAAATAATACAAAAAGTTTGGCAGATGTAGAACCTGGATAAAATACTATTTCAACAAGTTTATATGTTTAAAAAAAATAATTAAGATAAAAAATTATAAAATTTTCATTTAAACTATACAGCAGTATTATTAAATATGAATATTGAGTTATTGAAATATTGTATATTTACATACGTATATAACATTTTTTTTGTACGAAAAATGTAAATTTCTAATTTCAGTTATTTTTTAAAAATTATACATATATCCCTAAGAAATTTCAGAAAATATAGCAACACATTAAATATCCAAATTATTTATATTCACTCATTAAAACTTACCATTGCCAAAAATTTAATTTTATCCGATAAGTTGTTGCTGATACAGTATTCCATAAGAAATGTGACATGTGTCGGTACAGTTAAATCAAACGATAAAACTCTCAATATCAAATTTTCCATTTTTATCACTTGTGTTTTTGAATATGTATCATCCGTGATATATACAAATTCTCCTACATCGGGAGGATAAATCTCCTCGTATTTCCTATTAGATATAAATACATTATATTTTTATAAAATAAAAATTTCATTAAAAAATTAAAGTGTCAAGCAGTTTATGTTCAATAAGAATTGTCGTATACAGATTTTGACAAAGTATGATTATTCAAAATAAACTCACGCTGCAATAAACATAGCGGCAGTCCCAACAAGTTGTAATTTTGATCTTACAACACTCATGTACGATAAAAAGCGATCAATATATGAAATGGCCAAGTAAAGCGTCTCGTCCTGTAATCGATATTCTTCAGCTACCTCTACAAGCCAATCTATCAATATAGATCTCATTGAATACGTAATATCAGGTTGTTTCTTCATATAACCAGGCTTTGGTCTATGTAGTGACTGAAAAAAGATAATAGAAATTTTAATATTGAAATAAATAAAAGTTTTCCAAAAATTTTTTTCTCTAGACATAGAATAAAAGTTATTCTTTTCATAATAAAAAATATTTAAATGAAAAATATATATATATGAAAAATGTATTTAGATTAAACATTATTAACTTAATATTAAATTTCTATTAACTCTTAATACACACAATGATTTTCCTTTACTGCACACAATGGATCATTTGTATTTCAAATTAATTTTCAACACTTTAACAAACATATAAAAATTATTTTTACATATATTTTAACAGCTTTAGAAAGTAATTTGTACGGTTGTGTATTTAAAAAAATTATATATAAATGTTATAACTTGATAATCTTAGTTTTTCAAAGAAAAAGTACAGGATATCAATGACCCAATCATGTGTGTATTAAAAATTAAATCTTTATTTAAAGTTAAATCAATTTACTTTAATAGAGTATTTATAGAGATTTTGTAAAAATTCCTCGAAAATTTCTGGATTATTTCTAGATATTTTTGTTCAAAATTCCAAGATTAGAGAATTTTTTAATGTAACTTTCAAATAAAGGAGTGAAATTGGTGTGCAACATGAAGTATTGACAATTAATAAAGGACAGAGATTCCACAATAAATATAGTTTTACAATAACAGACTACATCTTATCATTTTCTACAATTAGAGCCATACGTAATGAAAGAGCATTATAATGTGATATCAGTGAACTACTCTATTTTGAGTAATGTCTTCTACTGTCAATCTGATTTTTTTTTTAGACAAAACCTGTGAGATATGTAAGAGTATACATGAATATATGGATGCCATATTTATTGCTAACCGATTGTCATTTTGCATTTATTAAAAAAAAAGATTCAAAGAAAGTTTTTAGAAAAAGAATTTAAATTTAAAATGTAAAATTTCAAAAATTTCCGAGTCATGATAAAATTTCATGAAAATCCCTGATTTCCAAGAATAGAAAAGAAATCCCCTGAAAATTTCAGGTTTTCCAGGTAAATATCTCGTTTAATATTAATTTATACAAATTAATATAGAATAAAAACAAGCGTATACCTCTGATGTTCGTAAATAATTGTATATATCAGCTCTATATTCATCTACATCAAAGATATTAATTCTCAATTCCTTATTACATTCTCTTCTGAGTCTATACTCTTCGTTGGAAGAACTGCTATATGTGAGAGATTTCTCCAATGACATTCCCAGGGACATGGGACTATCTTTCAATAAGATATCATCCTTCTTTTTTTGATCGACTTCTTCGATCTTATTACAAAACGCATAAGTAGAAGTGCTATCTATAGTGCATATTTCTAATCTTGGCTGTTCTTTCTCAGATTTCGCTATTGTTTCTTTTACTTCCTTGTTCTCCTTTGAGTTTCTAAGGGCGACAGATGTCTCTTCTTCTAATTTATCCTCGTAAATTTTGAAAGTTGGTTCCTCTTTCTTATAAAAGTCTTCTTCATAAATTTTGAAAGACTCTGATTGCATAGGTATAAATGGTTTAGATTTGACATACTTCTCATCTTTGTAGATCTCCTGCTAAAAAAGAAAGACAGAAGAAATTCTATAACACATGTGAATTTCTGACACTTAACTTTCTGCTGCAAATCATTTAACAATAATAAATGTTCAATGTAATACTTGACTCTCCTCGAAAAATAATCAACTAAGCCAAGTTTTTTAATTCATAATATACAAACTTTTACAGAGTAAAAGTACAAAAACTCACCTTATATGCTAAATTAAACTGTAATAGGTAAAGAGAAGCTAACTTAATCTCTATAATCGCAACAAAGAGATCCATCAGAGAAAAATAATTATGAAGATTGCAACTAATAAATCTTTATTAATCTACAATATTAATTTCAATTCATAACAGCATCGAGATGGAATCTTTCCAGTGTTAAGGCGCGAACGGCATATGTCAGAAACGTAGCTCGCGATGTTTATCGCGGTTTCGAGGAGAGCAAAGTGAGAAAGATGAGTAATGGCTTTACGTACAGGCTTCGTCCCGTTCCGAGGGCAATTGTTGTGCAGAACTCCGAGGACGGCGCGTTTCGCCTGGTGCAACACTTGTGTTTGTGTGCTTACGGCAGCAGCGGCGGTGGCGGCGGCGGCGAGATTTTCCTTCCCGCGTCCGCGCAAATCGCCGGTAATGCGATTCTCCTGATCCTCCTGGTGTATCCTGATTGTAGCCATTATCGCCGTAACTCGCGCGATGATATCCCTCACGCACGAAATTCAGTCAACAACGTGTATGGGATCGTGGAACTCCACCGCCGGGACGAGACACCGGGTAACAATAAAAGACTGTGATAAATAACAACGTGCGCGCGTCCGTCCCGGTTTCTTCGCGTTCCGCGACGAAACGTAGATGCTCCCGAACGTCTCTACAACTGGTCGGGCATGACAGAAATTGCGGGAAATTCGGGCGCACTCAGCAACCAACGAGTCACGGTTGCCGTTTGATTTCAAACAAACGTAACTCCAACAGCTGGCCGCTGGCGGGACGTTACCGAGAGCGTTGCGCGAAATTAACCAATGGCAAGCGTGGGAAACGTATCGGCCAATCGCAGCGTTGCTCATTTGACTGTGCGTTCGCAAACGCGTCTTTTTGCGCGCTCGCGCGTGCGCCGATTTTAAAAGCACTTAAGCCCTATAACGCAATGCGAGGCAATAGTGATAAGAATAGCGATAGGAAATATAGGAATAGGTAGAGAAATAAGAGATAATTGTCGCTTTCCGTTGCACAATACCGTGAAAGAAATAAAAATGCCAATTAATCTGATCTTGTATATAGACTGTAGTATATTCTTCTATTTGCTTCAAGGTAGCACATATAAACAGAATGAAAAATCTGAATGCTGATTGGTAGACTATTATAAGGCGACATAATTTTCGTCCATTTTTACAAAAGTTTTTTAAAGCAATCTTATCATTTTGTTTCCCATACAGCACAAAAGATTGAAGCAATATTACTGCAATGTTGCAATATTGCAAATTGCAATGTAACATTGCAGAGATATTATAGAAATATAAATTAACAATATGCTTGCAAAATGTCAGTAATGTGCTTGTAATATTCCACAAACATTGTAATTCTTTACTTGTTACAATAATAATAATACAAAAATATAAGTTTTTACAATATTTATGTAGTATAGATTTTTAGTTTATCAGTCGTTTTTATAATAATTAATATAATGCATTTTATATTTAAATAAAAAATTTATTGATCTATTATTTGACGGCCATTTTATTAGCTAAATTTTATATTTATTTTAAATGAAATCAAAAGATTGTATAATATCGAGTTTGGATACAATCAATGCATCATTATGGGATAAGACGATAAGCAATTAAGCTGCTGAAATTTATCGAAATATTAATTATGTGATCGATGATATATTTATACCTGAACTTTATTGATAAATTTCATACCGTCATTTTTTAATCGATTTCAATTGATTTGGAGTGGTTTCGAATTAAGGAGAATCACTGCGATTAACTTAATCTATGATTAACTTACCAAGCGACTGACTGTATTATTATATTAATGTGGATAATAGTAGATTTATAGTTTGTTCAACATACATGCTTTATTCTTACAAATAAATTTCCTTCAGAATTAATACTATGTTTATTGGAATATTTTATGATTTAAAAAATTTCATTAAAAAATTGCTTTTGGAAAGCACATATCACTAGAAATGCGATTTGTAGAAAAATTAAAGTTAGTAAGACATATGTATAGAAATAGTTTTTATTTTAGAATCTTCGTAAAAAATTTATTACGTATATACAAATGCATTACGTTGCAATATTGCTGGGAATAGCTTTTTGTTGCAATATAACAAAAAGCGGACATCTTAACATTATTGGAATTTTGCAACAACGATTCAGCAACGTTTCGCAATCACCATGCAATATTGTAATTAATATTTCAGTAAAATCATTCTGCAATGTTTCTGCAATCTTTCTGTGCTGTATGAGTTTATCCAAATTGTCTTTATTTCTAAATGGCATGTAATAAAAATTAAGGTGTCATTTATCGCTTCTGACATCATGATTCAATATGGGTGTGATGACTACTCAGGAGTCTTAAGCCTTAAACACAATGCGAGACAATAGCCCGATAGCAATAGAAATAGCGATAACAATAGCAATAGAAACAGAATCCAACGTTCGGAAATGCATATATATGAGCGGCTAAGTTTTAAAAGTTTTATAGCGCAAAAGAAAACTTTAAGCAAACTAGTTACATTTGAATTTGCAATTAAATTGAATTCGAAAATGGCAATTTTTTGGATGAATTAGATTACATTCTGATTAATTTAATAGATGATTAATAATTATTAGTAATTTTTGTTTTATATTTTGCTATTATAATAAATATTATTAATTACGTACGAAAAAAAATTAGAGTAAACTAATTATAATATACTTAGAAATTTGATTTTAAGTAATTATAAATTAATTTCTGATTATATGTTATATATTATAATTATATTGAAATTGTTCGCTTTTAAAAAGTAATTGTGAATCGCGCCTTATAGATTATCGTAAACATATAATATAAATATGTAAACATATCTAAGATTTTGCTTATTATTTGTTCCTTCTGTTTGTCCCACAATGTACACGAAGATATTGACTGTATTGACCTTTTCGAATTTCGAAGGCATACAAAAAGAATAAAAGTATCAGTTAGAGTGCTGATTAAAATAATCTATTAGAAAGGAATTAAGTTGAAAATCTTATTGAATATCTTATTGTGAGTTTTTTGATCAAAACATATTAAACCAACAGATCTCATTTTCATTCTGATTGTCTGTGTATATCATAATGGAGATTGATACAAGCGATGAGCGTCAAGTCGAATATCTAGAGATACCCATTAAATCAAAGAATGATTTGATGGAATATAGGTAAGATATATGGGAGCAAATATAATACTCTTTCTTAGTAATAACCTTTATAGAAATTTAGTACTAGTATTGGCCAATTAATCATTTATTTTGAGTATTATTAAAAGTATATACTACCCAGCAAACGAGAAAATGGATTAAAATGGATTGAAATTTGTTTCTAATGCGTATTTTAAATAGCGAATACTTTTTTTTGATTTAATTGGATTCAATTAGATTCAATTGGATGCAATTGGATTGAAAAACTTTTCTATTCAAAATTTTGAGTTGAACAGTATTCGCAATTGTGTTGTTGTGCACAGAAAAAGCTAATATTATTTTTCCATGCAATTCCTATAAATGAATAAACATGCATTCAGAATTGAAAAAGCATTCATTTTAACATTCGTGAATCAATATTTCTGAAAATCTGAATCCATTTCAATTTATTTCAATCCATTCTTGTTTGCTGGATATATACATTAACAACTAGTACTTTTAATATTCAAAATAAATGATTAATTGGCTAGTATTAGTATTAAATTTCTATAAAGGAAGTACAATTTCGATCGGTATGATAAGTATGAGAAGCATTAATTATCATAATATGATGATTTTTTGAGAGAAGCATTACATCTTTTACAAGAAATAATTAGGTTTTTCTTATATGATCAATATTCTTAGTGATATATGTTAACATTTCATCATATATTTGTTTTTCAAATTTAGAGTTATCAAATTACGAAACGGATTAACAGCTATGTTAATATCCGACAATGAAAATAAAGATGAAGATGATAGTGACGAAAATAATGAAAAAGATAATGGTCCTTCTGCAATTAAACGAGTTAAAAAAGATGAATTAACGGTATATACAAATTTAATATAATAATAGTGTCATAAGATATGAATTACACAACTAACGATAAATAATGAAAAAATTTTATCAGTTAAATTTAAACTGTAGGATCTATAAGTGCTTATATACATATAAATACTTTGGTGTGAATATATAAAAACTGCTTATCAAAATCATTTTCAATCTTGACAGACAATTCTAAATTAAACTAAGATAAATTAAATTAATAAACAATTTAAAGATATTGGTACTAATAAACATTTCAAACAATTGTAAATAATTTGATATTAAATAATAAGTCATCTCGTAATAAACTTATATCAGCATCAAATTATTTACAGTTCTTTGCTCATCTATTAGCATTAATGTCATTAAGTTGCTTATCAGTTTAATTTGTGATGTATTATTATATCCCAGGATTATGTATAAATTAATGGAAATGATTGAACGGTTCTGAGGATTGCATTTCAAGACTGAAAATAATTTTGGCATACAGTTTGCAGAGGATATGTATAGAAATTTATGCTGAAGTATTATTTAATCATTAAGATCCAGCTTAGACCAATAAGACAATTTAATTAGTTTGTATTTTAAATCATTCCTTGTATTCTCCTTTTATATAATATAATTAAAAATTCATTAGAATTGTAATATTGAACAAAGACTTACAAAATCATAAAAAGTATCTATCCCAGTGAACATAAGTAAAGTTGCATGTAACATACCTGTTAGTTGTAATTTCCTATTCAACAATATTACAGGTAATATAACAGGAGTGTATGTTATAGTAATATTGTTGAGTGGGAAACAACTAACAGATACGTTACATATAACTTATGTTCACTGAGTATATCAGTTAGAACCTAAGATTCGCGTATTATTATAGTTTTATCAGAAATTTTTGTTTGAAAAATTTGATTTCTATTATCTGTAAGATATTTTTAAAGATTCATTTCTAAATGCTTAGTTTAAGATTGTTTACGGATAATCCTATTAATTATGCAATATTCATTTTTGACTTAACACTACATGTGTAATATGTGATGTGTAAATGTGTATATATAAATTTTTTTTAACACAGATAGAATGTGGCTTAGACGTGGGAGTAGGCAGATTTAGCGAAACAGAAATTCCAGACCTTTCACATTTTGTTGAATATATGGTTTCTAGAGGATCCGAAAAATATGAACATGTAATTAAAATATGATGCGTGAATTTATTATAAAATTTATTCTTATAGGTATAAATGTTTAAGTATCATTTTACTTGCAGGAAAATGATTTTATTGATTTTATCAATGAGCATGGGGGATGTACTAATAGTGTAACGGATTACGAGCATACAACATTTTATTTTGCCCTGGTGAAAATTTTTCTTAAAAATTTGTATATAATTTTTCAGAAATTTTATGTAAATGTTAGAATTTTTCAGAATTTCTCAATATTATTACTTTTTAGAAAATTTCTCAGATTTTTTTAAAATACAAATTTTAAAATACAAATTGGAATACTGTTTAGAAAGTTTGACTGTGTCAAAGTTTACGTCTTTTCTAGAATTTTGTATTTACAAATATTTTTAGGCCGGAATTATATTCATATTATCTAGTTAACTTGTGATTAAGCTTATTAACAGATATTTCACTCAATGGGCTTCATGACATCATGTCATAGATGAAATCCATTGGATCAAACATGAGGGTGAACCTAACTATAAGTTAATCAGATAATGAAAAACCGAATCTTAGATTTATAAAATTTCTCTGTAATGTATAATGTTTGAAAAAATTTTATCAAACTTTATCTGAAGAAGTTTAAGATATTTTTTCAGAAATACAAATTAAGACATTTTAGAACTCTTATAATATTGACACATATATGAAAAATTCTAAGAAAAGATGTAGATTTAGTTAATTAGTTATTGAAAAGTAATCCAATTAGTACAAAAATTCTGAAAAAATTTCATTAGGGTGGTATTCAAAAGGATCAATTGTTATCAGCTCTCGATCGTTTTACTCATTTTTTCATTAAACCCTTGATGAAGAAAGATGTCATAAAGCGGATGATAGAGACTTTAAGACACGGTAGATAAATTATAATCATAATATTGCTACAAGTTGCAGTCTTTTAATGTGTCATGTTCATATAGAGTTGCAGTCGTCTTTAACTTATGATATATCCAGGAAAAATCGAATAATGATCTCTACCGTACCAGTTGGACATCCAGTCAATAAATTTTCATGGTCCTATACAGTAATAATGAGCAATAATGTGGATGACAACAAAATAGACAAATTATACGATGAACTACACAAATTTAGAGAGCGTCATTACAGCGCTCACAGAATGAAGCTAGTTATACAAGTATAACTTAAATCGTTTATCAAAATGAAAATTATTGATTAAATAAGAGAATTAACTTATAGTAATTAAGTAATTAAGTAATTAAGTAATTAAGTAATTAAGTAATTAAGTAATTAAGTAATTAAGTAATTACTTAATTAAGTAATTACTTAATTTAGTAATTAAGTATATTTTAATTCATAACATATAATATATAGTAGTATCTTTTTATAGGCATCATTACCACTAAATGCATTGGAAAAATATGTTAAAAAGTTCTTTGCTAATATACCAAGTAACTGGCTGCCTCCCGATGACTTTACCAAATTTAAAGACAATATTCCTTTTAATACTCCCGCTTTCCAAAAAAAAGTGTATAAGATTAGATCTGTCAAAGATATCAACCAAGTATGTGACTTGAATACACAAATTAAAAAAAAACTATCTTTATACATCCTAAATAAATTTACAAAACAAAAATTGTCTTTTACAGCTACATATAACTTGGGCTATGCCTTCACTACTGCATTTATATAAAAGTAAACCAAATAATTATATCTTATGGATTATTAAGCATAAAGGAGAAGGTTCCTTAATAGATTATCTACGCAAGAAACATTGGAGCTTCGATTTTTTACATAATAACCCTGAAGACGATTTTGAACAAAATTCTTTATATACATTATTCAATTTTATTTTAGATCTCTCCCATGAGGGACTACAACATGTGTCCGAAGTTCTAGATGCAATATTTTCATTTATTAATTTAATAAAGAGGGAAGGTCCGCAGAAAAGAATTTACGACGAGATTTATAAAATTACAGAAAATAATTTTAGGTAAATCAATTTAAGAAATAAATAGAGACGTGTAGAAAATAAAACACAATAAAATATATTTGTAAAATGTCACTTATACTTGAAAGTTTTTTTTAGATTGTTAGGTAATAATGACTATGTAGACTGTTTGTGTAAGAATATGCATTTATATCCATCGCGCGATTATATAACTGGAAGGTACAATTTCTTCGAGTATGACCCAGAAGCTATACAAAAATGTTTGGATTATTTGGTGCCAGAGACTGTGAATATTATGATTTTCAACAAAAATTTTCATCGTTTTGGATTAAATAAAATCGATCTGTGGACCAATACCCTGTACAAAGATGGGGAGATATCACAAAAGTGGATCGAACGCTGGAAATCCATCGAACCATTGCCAAATTTTCATTTACCATTATCAAATACATTAGTTACTAGCGACGTCTCTTTATTATCGATACCTGTGATGGCTCCAAAATATCCCATAAAAATAGCTGATACTCATTTAACGCAGATTTGGCATTATCAGAAGTTTAGTTGGCCAAAATGTTATATAAACTTCCAATTTATTGCTTACCCTCCGGAATTTCAGTCGCCAAAGACGTAAGTAATAAACATAAAAATTGTAATAATATTACATTGAGTAATAATTATACTAAATATAGTTAATGTACTATTGCAGATCCTATTAATTTCTATCTTGTAATTATCAATATTGTGATTTTTATATAATCATTTATATCTTGTTAACAAAATATTCAGATTATATTTAATGACATTTTAGTGAGGCTTTCATAGAAATGTACTGCAATATATTAAAACAAATATTGAGGAAAGAATTATTTCCAAGTGTAAAGGCTGAGATTGAATATGATATTACTGTCAGTGAGACAAGTATTATAATAGAAATGAACGGATTTAAGGAAAAACTATTAGTAAGTATAGTTTCAAAATATATATTGGAGTTCCAAATATAATTTCAAAGTACCCTGGTAAAAATTTTTCTCATAATTTTTACTCAAATTGGAACATTTTTCAGAAATACTCATAAATATTACAAAGTTTACATCTTCTCTCAGAATTTTTCATACAAGTGAATTCTGAAATTTCTCATCTCATAATTTTTAAAAAATATTTTTTAATTTTTTAGATTTATAACATTTCATCAGAAATTACAAACTTAGAAAAAAATCTTAGAAATCTTACGATATTTTATAATTAACATATATAAAAAATTCTGAGAAAAGATGTAGATTTTCTGAGAAATGTTTCAATTCATATAAAAAATTGAGAAAGTTTTAAAATTATATAGAAATTCTGAAAAATTATATGAAAAATTTTGAGAAAAATTTTCACCAGAGTACAATACTTTATTTATATTGCAGAAATTTTTGCCAATTATTGCAAGTTATATGATGTACTATTCAACTATTGTTTCGAAGCACTTGTTTGAACTTGTCAAAGCGCAACAACTTGAAAGATATTATAACAAATTTATGAAACCTGAAAAACTCATAAAGTATTGAATATTTATTATCGAGAATTATTACAATATTATGCAAGAGTTATAAAATTGTATTAAAATTGTACAATTATATATGCAAGAATTATTAAATTTTTACATAAATTTAAGAAAAATTTAATGATATATTAATCATGATAAATAATATTATAAAATGAATTATGTTTCAAATTATATTTCTGATTAAAATCAATGTATATATTTTTATTCTTTTCCACAGGAGCGTGAAATTATGGATATTGAAGGAAAGTATCCATTATACACATATTGACACATACATTGCTCTACGTGATATTAATTTTGAAGAATTCCAAAAATTTGTGAGATCTTTCTCCAATCATCTATACATTCAGTGTCTTGTGCAAGGCGATATGACGAAGAACCTTGCGATTGAGGTTTTACAAAATTATATGGAAAAGATAAAATGTTCTCCATTAATCTTTAATACGATATCCAAGGCAAAAATCATTCAGATACCCTTAGGCACATCCTATTGCAAATTAAAAAATATGAACAAAACTGATATGAATTCCGTAATAACAAATTATTATCAAGCCGGTATCGCATCGATTGAATTGTCTATGTTAATTGATTTGATAATCGTAAGTATTATATAACATCGCTTCGTATATTTTGAATGCTTGCCATGGAATTCTTGATTGAATTCTCAGCAAACTAGAATGGATTGAAATGAATTGAAATGGATTCAGATTTTCAGAAATATTGATTCCCGAATGTTAAAATGAATGCTTTTTAATTCTGTTTTTCAATGCATTTTTATTCATTTATAGAAATTGCATGAAGCATATTTCTATGCCTTTCAATCTAAAAATAATATTAGCTTTTTCTGTGCATTGTAAATACTGTTCAATTCAAAATTTTGAATAGGAAATAGTTTTTCAATCCAATTACATCCATTTGAATCCAATTGAATCCAAAAAAAGTATTCGCTATTTAAAATACGCATTCGGAGAGAAAAAAATTTCAATCCATTTTAATCCATTCTCGTTTGCTGGGTTCAATTATATCCGTACACACTCATCTATACATCTCTTCAGATTATAATGCAAAAACTATTAACGAATCAACTGTGTATCCGAGAACAGCTTAGTAATAAGGTCTTCTGCGACCGTCAAGATCACAATGACATTTTAGGACTTTCCATTACCGTTCACATTGAGGCACATACATATACAACAGAATATGTGGATCAGCGGATCGAGGAATTTTTGAAGTCATTTAGTAAGATGTTAGAAGTGTTCTCACAAGAGGAATTAAATATTATCAAGGAAACGCTAATAATAAGAAAATTGAAGCAATGTACCAATGGGTTTCTGAAAAATGAAGTAGATAGAAACTGGAATGAGATTATGAAACGGCAATACATGTTTGACAGATTCGAGAAGGAAGCGCATGCAATAAAGAATATAAAAATCAAGGAGCTACGAGAATGGTTTAGATGTACATTGAACGGAGATGATTTTAGAAAATTAAGTTTACATGTGGTAGGAACTGATCCAAAGGAAATAGAAGCGAATGGTGAATATATATATCTATTTAGTTGAATTTTGATCAATATATTTATTTGTTTTCTGATTTTGTGACATTGTTACTTGTTTTGCATTTTTTGTTGTTGTCAGATTGTGCTTGAATAAATTACTAAAACAATTAAAATTAAAAAAATTGGTTGTAGATACTGCAGTGGATTACAATAAAGAACATTTTGTTTTGCAATATATAACCGATAGTCAACAGCATAATGAAACTAAAGATTATCATATTACGAACATAGAACATTACAAGGCAGAACTCTTCATTTACTCATGCGTCGACCAAATAAGAAATTTGGATTAATGGACTCCCCCAGCAAACTCTCAGAAAATGGATTGAAATGAATTGAAATTGATTCAGATTTTCAGAAATATTAATTCACGAATGTTAAAATAAATGCTTTTCAATCCTGAATGCATTTTTATTCATTTATAGGAATTACATGGAGCATATCTCTATGTCTTTCAATCTAAAATAATTCAAAATAATGTTAGCTTTTTCTGTGCATTGTGAATGTTCAATTCAAAATTTTGAATAGGAAATGCAGTTTTTCAATCCAATTGCATCCAATTGAATCTAATTGAATCCAATTGAATCCAAAAAAAGTATTCACTATTTAAAATGCGCATTCGGATAAAAAAAATTTCAAAATCCATTTTAATCCATTCTCATCTGGGTCCTACTTCTTTCTTACGATAATAATGTTCTTTTTTATTCAATGAATATTCAAATTTAGTACTAATCTTTACATAAGAACAATAATATTGCAATTAGTTTTTCATACTTATTACCTTTATTATTATTTTCGACGGGCTATATTATTATAATAGCTAATTATGAGAAATATTTTGCATCTTACAACATGAAATATTCGAACTTAATAAAGTTAAATGCAGGTAACTTCAATTAAAATCAGAATTTGTAAGCTTTACACATTAAAATGATTATTTCTTTATTTTAGCATTTCTGAATAAAAAAGTAATGGCAGTGTTCTTTTAAAATGTAAATACCCGAAAATGTTTCATATATAATTATATATAAAAATATATATAATCATATATACAATTATATAAAATTGTATGTAATTATATAAAAATTATCATATTTATATATATATAATTATATATAAAATATGTCTATGTATATAAGATTTTTTCTCGGAATATTGTTAGTATTCTATAGTAAAGTACTTAATATTTTAATACCTTCAACATTTCAATTAAATGGAGCAAAATTTAATTTTCACTTATGTGACGCATCATAATTTTTTATTTTGATGAATACATATGTGTTATTTGTTCTTTTAAGCGAAAAATGTATACTTGACTGATATTATTTTATTTGTGTATTATTGCTTACTATAATAATATAAATCCTTGGTTTATATTCATTTCAATTGAAGAATAAATGAAATATGAATAACATCTCTTTAATTATCACGATTGATATTATTGTGTCATCATATTTATTCGTATAATGTATTATACATCTTTATAGATGATAATGCAAATCTCTATAGAGATGTCATCGGAATTTTAGAATTTTTCACATAGACCAGTGTATCGAGAAATTTCTGAAATTGTTTAATAAGATGTTGGGAGAAGAGAGTTATCGGAACATAAGTGATGTCAAGGAAGTGTTAAAAGAATTGAATGTGATTATATCTGTTAAATGGATTTCTGATAAACGAAGTAGATAGAAACTGGAGTGAGATTATGAAACCGCAATACATGTTTCAGATTCAGACAGATTCGAGAAGAAAGCGCTAGCAATAAAAAATATAAAAGTCAACAAGCTGAGAGAATGGTTTGCAAAGCAAACACTGAATGGAAGTAAAAGACAATTATAAGCGTATATGCGATAGGAAATAATCGAAGAAGAATATAATTAAGAAAATAACCCAGCACAAAAAATTGAAGCAATATTGTTGTAATGTTGCAATATTGCATATTGCAATGTAACATTGCAGAGATATAAATTAACAACATGCCTACAAAATGTCAGTAATATGCCTGTAATATTCCAAAAATATTGCAAAACTGTAATTCGAATCTTTGATTGTTACAATAATAATAATACAAAAATATAATTTTTTCTAATATTTATATTTGGTCTTTTAGTTTAACAGCCGTTTTTATAATATAATAATTAATATAATCTATTTTTATATTTAAATAAAAAATTTATTAATCTATTATTTGACGGCCATTTCATTAGCTAAGTTTTATATTTATTTTAAATATGAAATCAAAAGATTTTGTATAATATCGAATTTGAATACAATTAACGCATTATCGGATGAGACGATAAGCAATTAAGCTGCTAAAAACGATTTATTGAAATATTAATTATGTGATCGATGATGTATTTGTATGCCTAATGTGAACGCAAGAATAAACTAGCCCGAACTTTATTGATAAATTTCATATCGTCATTTTTTAATCGATTTCAATTGACTCGGAGTGGCTTTGAATTAAAAAGAATCATTGCAATTAACTTAATCCATGATTAACTTACCAAGTATTGTTACACTGTATTATTATACTAATGTGGATAATATTTATAATTTGTTCGGGGCACATACATACATGCTTTATCCTTATGAATAAATTTATCCTTCAAAATTAATACTACATTTATTGGAATATTTTATGATTTTATCATAAAAAAATTGCTTTATAGAAAGCACATATTACTAGAAATGCGAGTTGTAAAAAAATTAAAGTTAGTGAGATGTATGTACAGAAAATAATTTTTATTTTAAAGTCTTCATAAGAAATTTATCCAAATACATTACATTGCAATATTGCTGGAACGTTTCGTTGCAATATAACAAAAAGCGGACATCTTAACATTGTTGGAATCTTGCAGCAATGATTTAGCAACGTTTCGCAATATTATCACCATGCAATATTACAATGTTCCAATAGAATTATTCTGTAATGTTTTTGCAATTTTTCTATGCTGTATGGGAAATAGTAAGTATTGATAACTTTTTTGATTGAATTATGATCGATGTCTGTTTCTAATTTTATATTATTTTTTGGATTTTATTTTTTGTAAGATTATGTTTAAAAATTGCTGGAATAATTAAAATTAAAAGAATTAATTGTAGATACTGCAGAGGATCGCAAGAAATTGCAAAACTTTGTTTCGAAATATAATATTATCGACAAATAACAGGACAATCATAAAAAAGATTATCATACTTTACGAATGTAGATTACAAAAAAAGATCTCTTTGTCTATCTAATCCATGATGCGCTAAATAATTGATATTTTAACAATAATAATACAGTGATAATATAATATGATAAATCTTTATATTGTTATGATAATATTTTTTTTATTTATTGAATGCTGAAAATTAAATTTCATTCAATTATTTTTCTCACATTCGACTATGATTGGTCAATTTTTTACGATGAGCGATATCCAATGAGAGCTTTGCTTTACATCATCACGTGAGACAAAGCAGAGCTTTCATTGGATATCGTTGGATTTCATTGGATTTCATTGGATTCGTCACTTTCTTCCATCACGTCCAGTAGGATATAAAAGCCAGAAACACGCAGGAACAGGAAGTAATCAGAAAGCATCCATTCTAGCATACATAGTATCTGATAGATTGAAATTTGTTGTTCTCATTGCTTGTGCTTTCATTGTGATTGTATTCGCTCACGACGCTTGTAAGCATCAATATCCTTGTTTAATATTTAAAAACAATAAGAATAAAATGACGCTTAAAGCGTTGCATCAAAATGAACAAAGCTTTTCTGATTTTAAGTAGACCATAACTATAATCGTAGGGGCTCCGTATAATAAAAGGAATAGGGAGAACAGAGAATAAGAATTTCAACCTATCGGAAATCATGTATTGTGGAATACACTGTTTCTGATAGGTTGAAATTCTTATTCTCTGTTCTATGTTCCTAGTTTTCTTTTATTGTGCGAAGCTCCTAAACGTCCTGGAATTACGAGAGCGGAGGGGATGCATTTATGAACGCACGAGTGCACATGCGAATCATGTTGAAACTACTAGTGTAACTGCACCATTGTAAGGAGCAAGTTGAGGGCAGTGGCAGGTATACAGATCCTATTTAAATTTCATATTGCTTCTCACAACAGTTTCCCGAATCAAGAGAAAGCGAATGTGATGTATTTGCTCTTCGAGTGATACGCTTTCCGATAATTTTTGCTTGGGCGATCAAGTGACGAAACGCGAACAACTTCGTGTCGGTGCGATTCGCGCGCGTGTCGCGTGTCGCGTGTCGCCGTTTCATAACCTCGTGCTAGACGTGCGAGAGCGAATTCGCGATTATACCGTTAAACCGTAGAGAAAACGTCGGAAGGAGATCAAATTCGCGCGGCCTCGTTCGTCAGAAGAAGAAACTCCGTTCTGAGAACAGGTGAAAAGTATCAAAAGAATTATGAGCCCATTGAACAGAGGTCCTCTTATGGCGCCCAGATTGCCGCCGGCCGGCGCACGGCAACTTCCGCCGCCCAGATTCGCGGGTAGACTAGCACCACCGCCACCGCCGCATGGCATGCCACCGAGGATGTTACCGCCGCCCGCGGCAGAGATTGCCGCCACCACCACCACGGCCTGTCGGCGGCGTATCTCGGCCTAACGGCATGCTGCCGAGATTCCCCGGTGGTCCCAGAGCGCGCGGCATGGCGCCCATCGTGCCGTCGATGGGACCGCGATTACCACGCGGACCTCCCATGCGACCTTGGCCGCGACGGATGCCGCCGTTACCGCAGATGATGCCGCCTATCAGGATCAGATACAATACAGGCAACGGAAATGCCAAGGGCAAAACGGGTAACCCTAAGAAAAGCAAGATTGAAGTATGTACTCTGGCCTTCGTTGTGTTGTTAAAGTTGCTTTTATCCTTGAATCACATTAGTCTTAAAAAAAATGTTATAAACGAGCTCTTGGTTTATTTGATTTAATGATCATGTATTTATTCCTGACAGTATAGATTTATATATAAGCAAGAGCGTTTCTAGAATGTTTATATAATGTATGTATTATATATTTTTGTTACATTCGAAAACTAATTTTACAAGATTAAATTCTTCTTTTATGGTATATAATAGTAACGTATGTAATTAAATTCTAAAAAAAATTTTGTATTAGTTATTAAGTTTTTGATTTAAATCTTATTGAAGATATATAATTATTTAGGAATTAGAATTAAAAAAACCATGGATGACAGATGAAATTCGTAATGAGATTCAAAGAAAAAACAAACTGTATGCTAAAGCAAAAAAGAACAAAGATGCAGTAGAATGGGAGGAATTTAAGGATC